AGCATTCTTTTTCTTTTCCTTTTTTAGGAGTGTTATTTTTCACTAGTATGTGTGGCACGGATACAATAAAAGACTGTTTTGCAAACCAGATTTTCTTGGCAATTTTAATACTTCAGCTCCTGTGTATATAGGTGTTTTGTTTTGTTTTTTAATATCTTGGGAGTCTTGCATTTAGTCAGTTCTTACAGTGCATCTAATTCTCCTGGCCTTTTAATGGTGGTTCCAAAGAAGCGATTGCCTTTGCCAGCAGTCAGAGAGCAGGTCCCACCTGTAAATGTCCTGTCGTTACCTGAGGGAGGCCTCGGGGGGTCTCCAGGGCTGCGGTGGCAATGCCCTTACGGTGGGAGTCGCGTGTCATGGAAACGCACGCCATGGATAATGTGTCTGAAAACCACTGTCCGTGTAAAGTTTTGTCCCTTTTTTGGCCTGTAGAGGGCATTAGTCATAATCCTTGCTCTGACTGAAGAAAACAGAAGAATTACAAAGGGATATTGTGGAACACCAGTACTTATAGCTCTCTCATAAAGCACTGTTGGGTGTTTTTTGCTTTTAAACTAGGCCTGCCACGTTTGAGCCTTGGAGCCTTGGTTTATATGCACCCTTGCTATTATAGTTCTTGTCTCTACTAAGGAAGAACAGTCTGAACCTATTTTTTTAATGAAATGTTTGTTTCCGTTGCCCTCCCCAGAATATCTTGTTCGATGATATTTTTCTTTTCTAAAGTCTTGTTAAAATAATCCATTATTACGTAGAATAAAAAATTCATATCTGGGTGTCAGACAGTTTTGCATTCTAATATGAACTCCCCCAGACTGCTCCACACCTTTTCTTTTCATGACCTTTCTGAAGACTTCAGTAAAAAGGTTTGCTGACATGTACCAGAGTTGTGAAGATTAATCAGTGTTGTGAATGTGTGATGGTAAGCTTGCTTAGATAAATCCAAAAACTAATTCTTCGATGAAAAACAGTCTCGGATTCTGTACTGGACAATGCTTTGTCTGCCCTACTATATCTGTTAGTTTTTTGAAATGTCAGAGCCAGGTTACCAGCGACACTACATACATACTTGGAATTTTTCAGCTTGTATCCTAATTCAGCTCAACAGCTGGGAAGCTGAAGGCAGTAACAGCTACTACGGTGATGCCGGTGAGACAGGTTTCAGCCAGTGAATGACACGGTGTGCAGTCAACTAACGTGCCGTAAAACAGAACGCGAGATGGTACAGACTGAACACGGGAGGGAGATTATTACATAGCAGGGAATGCTTCCTGGGCACAGGGTGACTCCGAGGAAGTGACTGTGTCTTCCTCGAAAAAAAAGTAGGTGTGGCGATAAACCGTTTATTTTGCATGAGTTGCTGAGCGTGTATCTGGATGTGCAGCGGCGATGGTGTGAATTTCTGACAGGTGCTGGGGGAGCTGTTTGTTCAACTCCCTTCGCGCCGGGACGGGCGCGGTGCCGGTGTCAGGGCGGAGCCGGCGGGGGCCCGGCTCTGAGGGTTCGGCAGCGGCCGGAGCCCCGGGCCCGCCGCCATCTCCTCACAGGTGCCGGCAGGGCCCGCGTCGCGCAGCCACAGCGCTGGCGGGGGTGGGCGGCCCTGGGGAGCCGCGGGAAGGGCCGAAAGCTGCGCGACCCGCGCCGCCTCACGGCCGACGCTGCTGGCGGCGGGCAGAGCGACTAACGCAGCGCCGGCTCCCCCCGCGGCCGGCGCGCCGTGGTGCGGCCCCGAGCGGGGCGGGCCGGCCCGGGCTGCGTCACGTCGGGAGGGCGGGGGAGAGCGCGCGTGCGCAGCGCCCCGGGCAGTGCGGGGCGGCCGAGGCAGGAGGCCCCGAGGGTGGTGCGGGGGAGCCGGGAGCGGGCGGGGTCCCTCAGCGCCGGCCGGGGGCCGCCGGGGTCCCTCAGCGCCGACCGGGAGCGGGCGGGGTCCCTCAGCGCCGGCCGGGAGCGGGCGGGGTCCCTCAGCGCCGGCCGGGGGCCGCCGGGGTCCCTCAGCGCCGGCCGGGGGCCGCCGGGGTCCCTCAGCGCCGGGGGCGGCCGTGCCCCGCGGCCGCGGTGCCGGGCAAGGTGGTGTTCACGCGCCACTGGAGCTCGGGGTGACCCCGCCGCCCTCCCGAGAGCGGTGGGCTGTGTGGGGGTGGGCTGTGGGCCGTAGTAACAGGGAAGAGGCTGTAAGCCGTATCGAGAATTGCTGTCGCTTTTCATGTGGGCAGCTGCTGGGGGCTTACGGACTTTGAAAAAAATATGTAATCGCCAGAGGAGGTGATGTCGTGGTGCTGAACATTTCTCTGGTGACGAACGCTCCCGGTGCTCCTCGCTCCCTCAGCCAGTTTATTGATACTGAAACATCTCGTTCCTAGGTTTGCTTTCCTGCAGTGAGCTCCTGAAAATCTCTTAACAGTGAGATTAAGGTCGCTTTTTCAGCCTCATCTTTCTAGATGTCAAGCTTTGTCTGACTCTGCAGTTTCTCATAATTGAAGAAAGTATGTTTATTTTCTTTCTACAGATCAGACATGTTATTGACACTACATCTCCCTAATGGTTTTAAAGAGAATAGTAGTAAAACTCTGAAAATCCCGAAGCTACAACAGGGAGTATGCAATGATTTGGTCTTTAACTAAACTGGCCTGCCATACACTGCCTGAGGAGAACAGGGATTTTGCCCTTATATGTACCTTTGTGTCCGTATGTCTGCATACATACCTGTGCACGTATGCATAATATACATATTTGTATGTCCACGTACATACAAACGTGAATATAAATTTATATGTTTTTAAAATGTATGAATATATATGATTTTATTTGCAGATGCCTCAGCATTGAAATTGTTCAGAATCAAATACTTATCTAAACCAGCAGACTATTATTTAAGTTAACTCAATATAAATAGTATTACTGCTTTTGTTCATTATAAACATCTTTTTAGAGTTGTGTAAGCAGTTTGTTTTGGCTCAATGCTTCCTTATTCTCAGGAAGCTTGGCTGTGATCTGCAGCATGGGAGTAACTGGTTGAGATGTGCCTTTTTGGGGATTTCCCAGACCTCAGCAGTGTATATCGCTTGTCTGACACTGCAGTTTTAAGTACTGGGAAAATGTGTGTGATGTTCATATTTTCTTTTGCTGTTCTGTGTAGCAGCAAATGCAATTTCCTGAGAGGTTCAGATTCTGATCACCCAACTAATGTTCACATTTTGACTTAAATGTTTTAGTCAACTCTTGTCAAACCTCAGGCTGTTATTATTGCTGTGATGTTTTGCCATCACTACTGTTGCTGTCTGTGAAAGGAAGCAGAAGGAAACTCCTGGACAAATTCAAACACAAAAGGAAGAGAATGGAAGCAAGGACAGGTAGCCTAGGAGGATAAAGAAAGATTGATTGAGTAGTCAGGGATCAGATTGGGAAAGCTGAAGTCCTGATTGATTTAAATCCAGCTAGGAACGTCAAGGGCAACAAGAAAAGCTTCTATAGGCACGTTGGTGATAAAAGGAAGACTAGAGAAAATGTGGGCCTTCTCTGAAAGGAAATGTGAGACCTGTTTACCTGGGACATGGAGAAAGCTGAGGGACTGAATGGTTTCTTTGTCTCCACTGTGAAATGCTCCAGCCACACTCTAGAAGAAGGCTGGAGGGGGACTTTTTACAAGGGCATATAGTGATAGAAGGGGGAATGGATTTAAACTGTGAGTAGGTCTAGATTAGAGATTAGGAAGAAATTGTTCCCTGGGAGGGTGGGGAGGCCCTGGCACAGGTTGCCCGGAGAAGCTGTGGCTGCCCCTGGATCCCTGGAAGTGTCCGGGGCTTGGAGCAACCTGGGCTAGTGGAAGGTGTCCCTGCCCATGGCAGGGGGTGGAACAGGATGAGCTTTAAGGTCCCTTCCAACCCAAACTGTTCTGTGATTCTATGCCTAAATGATGCTTAGATGAAAAATTTGCCTTTGCAAATGAATTTTTTTTCCTTTTTTTTTTTCCTGGAGAATGTGTCTTTTCGTTTCTGAAAGAGGGAAGTTAAGTCTGACTGTTGAACTCTTTTTCAGATTCTTTATTTGAAAATGGCAACACTAATTCACAGTTTATCAGATCACAGTGATGACGTCAACTACTGCGCCTTCTCATCGTCGTGCTTGGCTACGTGTTCCTTGGACAAAACCGTTCGCGTGTATTCCCTGAGCGACTTCGCCGAGCTGCCGTACTCGCCGCTGCGCGGCCACACGTACGCGGTGCACTGCTGCTGCTTCTCGCCGTCGGGCCGCGTGCTGGCCTCGTGCTCCACGGACGGCACCACGGCGCTGTGGGACACGCGCGACGGCCGCCGGCTGGCGGTGCTGGGGCAGCCGCGCGCCAGCCCCGTCCGCGTGTGCCGCTTCTGCCCGCGCGGCTCCCGCCTGCTCGCGGGGGCCGCCGACGGCACCCTCGTGCTCTGGGACGTCCAGTCACTCCAGCTCTACAGGTCAGTGCCAGGGGCTCTCGGACCCGTCCCTGGTCCGCAGGAGTGTAGCGGGAGTAGTGTGCTGTGCTGTGTACGGGACTCGCAGGCTTACACCGCCGATGGGTATCACGAAGAAATGGGGAGAGGACTTGGAAGACCCTCAGATTGGGAGAAATGCTGAGTCTTTTTTGCGTTTTTTGGTGGGGTTTGTTGTTGTTGTTGGATTTTGGTTTTGGTTGGTTGGTTGGTTTGGTTTTGTTGTTTTGGGTTCTTTTGGGTTTTTCTTATGTTAATGCAAACTCAAGAAGCTTTAATTTTTACTCAGTTATCTTGCATCTAAATCCTGATTTTTTTAAAAGTTCATTTCATTGATTTAACATGAAATCATGATGCATTGTGTACTGCATTGCATCTGGTTCCTAAACAGCAAGTCAGCAAACTGTGATACATAATATACAGTTAGTTAATGGAGCCTGACTGTACTGTGTACTTTATATTATATTATACATAGTGGTATAAATTAAATATTTAATTACTAGGAGTTTGGAGTCCAGGAAGGTCTTAGAAGCTTGATAGTAATCCAGCAATCAGAGTTTGGAAGCTATGGACGTGTCCTGAAACCATGCAGTTTGAGACATAACAGTGACAGAAAGGATTATTGGAGCTAAATGAGTTAAGTATGACATGGGTTTCCAAGAAACATTTGAAACAAAGCAGATGATTATATTTATTGATGTTGCACAGTTAAAGGTGTGAACCTTAGGGTGATCTTCTAAGTCCTCCTCTTCATCTCTGTCTTTCAGGAAAGTCTTCAGGCCAGTTGTTGTAATCTGTACTTGGGCAAGATGTTATTTAGGTTTTAGAGCTGCAATTACACAACTGCTGTTCAAAGTTTGGAAAGTAGTTAAGGATTGAGCGAATTGAACTTTCACTTAGGATTGAAGGAGCAGCCATGTGTGAAAGCCAAGGTTGTTTGGTGTTGGTAATCCCTTGTCAAGCATGTTACTGCTTTTTTGGCCTCTCTGCCTTTGCCTTCCACAGCAGTGATTTATATGGGAACTGTAAAGTTTTTCAAAATGATTTATTGTAGTTACTTGAAATAGTGTAAATCTGGAAATTTGTCCATAAACAGAATTCTTATAGATTTTTGCCACCGTGGTTTTTCTAATGCATAAAGAAATGCTGAAGTGGTTGTTTTGTTTTCAGACAATAAAGAAGTACTGATTATATATTTTTACTTATTTTTATCTTTAAGAAAAATTTGGAATTTCAGTCATTAGTATTCTGAACTGTAAGGGTTTATCTGCTTTGACATTGTTTGCATTGTAGAGAAGTAAGAAAGAACTTGAACATCCCAAACCTGTCCCCTTCAGCTATTAAAAGTTCATTTCAGTGTGTTAACTGGCCAGGAGTAGTCAGCTTAACTTTAATTATATGTATTTTGGGATGTGTATGTGTATATGTATGTTCAGCTGATGAATTTTTTTTACTGTCATTTGTAACTGTAGATAGAAAAATGCACGTCCTGGTTTTAAATGCTGAGATCAATATCACATAGAAATTATCAAGGTACTTAAAAATTATGTCAGAGGATGTTAGTTAACCATTTAGTGTCAGTCTGTGGTCCTCTGTTTCTTTTGCTACAGTTGATTGTGTTGATGTTGAAGAAGAGAACACCTTTTGCCACACTGTTATGTCACTTGACCAAATATGTGGATGGTAATTAGAACAAAGGTAGCCACTTATTCCTTATCTGCTCTGCTGTTGTAATTGACTGTTCAAGTTGTGAAGTAAGATGGCTATTTAAATAATCTCTGTGATGGATGTGAACATCATGAAAGCAAGTTAATTTATGTGTATTTCTTAGTGGTCTCTGTTTTCTGTTCAGTAGTTCCCATACTAATATCTGGCCCACAAGTCTTAAATGCATACTCTGAACATGTACAGTGCTGTTTATGTTACTGTTACGTTTTCAGAGCAGAATCTGCAACTTTTTGTGTGAAAGAAGTTTTAAAAGCTGCACTAAGGAAAAAGGATTCTGCATATGAAAATGGGAGTAGTGGATTTGACAGTATTCTTAATGATAGAATTAAAGGAGTCAGTGCTTTGTAGAAAGTCCTGGGTCTGATTAGCAAGACTCTCAGGGAGAGTTACTGACTTCTGTGACATTAAGTCTGACACCTCTCACAGTAAATAAAACTTCTATCAGCAAAAGAGAATGAGCAGCTTCTACAAGATACAATGACAGAGTAAATAAGACAGACATTTCTTGCTATGTGACTGTTGCTTATGGCCGTTGATTTTCTTCCTGCACTTGTAGGTTCAGCTCTGCATGCTGGGCTGGATCTGCTGTCCGTTAAAAGGAGTGAGACACTTTCAGTTGACTTTAGGTTATTATCAGATAAGGTAAAGGATGTCAGGTTGACCCCACTTCCCTCCTGAGGATTGACCACACTTCTGTATCTGCTAGAAATTTTCTTTAAAGATCAGTTCTACAAAGTGCTTTGGCTTAGTTAAGATAGAGACTTTTTTTCCACATTGCGTTCTCTTGTGTACACGTTCTTCAAAATTGACCCTACATCATAAATCACAAAGTGTTCTTCTCAGCTACAGCTTATGATATGGGTTAGTAGGTGTTCTGTTTTGTCTTTGAAAACAGAGCAGAGGAATTGTGGGAATCTTTTTTCCCTTGTTTGTGTACATGTAAATCTGTGTTATGATAATGTGCATTTATCTTTGACTTTTAAAATGTACCCTGCCGTAGAATGTTACTTTTAAATGTAAAGTCCATGCAAGTAGTTTGAAAATTATCACTCAGTTAAAATTATTGCCTTGGGGTGCCATCTCATGTTTTCCTCCTGCAGTCAAAGAGCAGGTGTGTTCCCTGCTGCAGTGCTTATTTGGCATCTCTTCCCGTAGCTGGGTTGAGTTTCTCTTCCTTGTATTACCAAGTCCCGATGTACAGAACTTAGAAGTTTGGCTTATTGTATCAGATGGTGTTTGATAGATCACTTCTTCAGAATTGTACTTATTCTAAATTCAAATCCTGTGTACTCTTACTTTTCAGGTCTGGAAATGTTAAAGATGGTTCTTTGGTGGCTTGTGCATTTTCTCCCAATGGAAATTTCTTTGTCACTGGATCATCAAGTGGTGATTTAACCATTTGGGATGATAAAATGAGATGCCTGTATAATGAAAAAGCACATGATCTTGGTGTTACCTGCTGTGATATTTCTTCAAATCCAGTATCTGGTTAGTTACTTAACTCATCAGGGGAGGAACATTTAAAAAAAAAAAAAAAGTTCTTTCTAGCTCTTCTTTTCATATTATTTTTTTAGTGATGCTCAAGATACAAATGACCTTGGGAAGAGTTGATGTTTAAAGTATTGTGAATATTTTTAGTAAAAACTGCGGTCAGGCAGGTGGCAAAGAATGTACTAGGTCAATAAACAAGGTAACTTTGAGAACTACTGAACTGTAGAGAAAATTAGTATAACCATAGAATTAAAATTAAAAAGAGTATGTCGGTGCACTCAGTAGATAGAGGAATCAAACATTTACCATCAAGAAAACTTAAAATATGAGCACAGCTGTGGTCTTTTATCTACTTGTTCAGGAAACAGTATAACAATGATACTGATTTCTTTCTTCTAAGCAGTTTTAGAACTTCTGTAATGATTTTTGCTGATGTAGTTTACTGGTATGCTGTTATTTTCAGTGCTTCTAACTCGCATTAATATATTTTAGTTTTATCAGATATTGAAAATGGATTCAAATACTTCCAGATGGCTTCTTGTGGACAAGATAATCAGATCAAGCTTTGGCTTATTTTATTTGCAGATTTCTTAGGTGAGCACAGCAATGTTTTTTTCATATACCAATGTCTTAAGTCTTTAGTGACAGTTTAAATCGAAGATCAAAATTATACTACTGGACTCACAGCCACAAGTTGAAAGTTTTCTGAACTGTTAGCAGGAGAGCAGCTGAGGCATTGACCACTTGATGCTGCTGCCCCATGTAGATTTTATTTAGCCATCTATTTATCAATAACAGTATAAGTAAAGATTTAAAAAAAAAATCTACTGTGGCCTTTGAACAGGTCAATAGGTTGAAACCTCTTAATCTGCCAGGCCATGGAGAGGTTTGCTCTCATCTTTCAATATGTCCTGGGCCTTGAGCAATTGCTGGTGAAATGAAAAGAGTAGTGGTTCCTCCTAAAACTGCAATGTAGAGACAGGGTAAATGGCCAAAAACATCTACAGAGGGTACTTTTTTGTAATCTCTTTTATATAAAAGTCTGTAAGGATGAATAGTGTGTGTACAGATGTGCATTTAATATCTAAAACACTGTGAGACATGCTAAGACTACAAAGTGAGGAAGTTGGAGATGTTCAAATTAAGTTGTCTCTGTGGTCTTTGTAGATGGTCACATCTTTGGTGGAGTCACATCTTTGGTGGAGCTTTATGCTTCTAAAAGCAGTTTGTCTTGTACCTTGTCAGATATGCCCGTATGTAATTTTTCCTTTTTGTATTTTTAGGTGTTGAATTAAAATATAAATGCACATTGAATGGACATTCTGCCCCAGTTCTGGCTTGTGCATTTTCATACGATGGGCAGATGTTGGTGTCGGGGTAAGCAGCACCTTGTGCTTGTGGAAAGCACGGGGAAGTGAGGAGGGCGGAGGGAGCCGCGTGTGAGGGGAGGGCTGGCTGTGGGCACAGGGAATGCTGCCGGCTGTGGGCACGGCCCTCAGGAGCCGTGTGTGAGGGGAGGGCTGGCTGTGGGCACAGGGAATGCTGCCCCCAGGAGCCGTGTGTGAGGGGAGGGCTGGCTGTGGGCACAGGGAATGCTGCCCCCAGGAGCCCTGTGTGAGTGGAGGGCTGGCTGTGGGCACAGGGTGGGAACAGGGAATGCTGCCGGCTGTGGGCACGGCCCCCAGGGTTCCAGGCAGCTGTGAGGGGAGGGGGCTCGCACAGGGGACTCTGCGTGGTCAGACTCAAAGGGCTGGTTGATGCTCAGCAGCAGCTCGTTGCTAGTGGCTTTCCTCAGGGACCAAGCTGTTGAGAGAGAAGTTATAAATAAGGTAGGTATAATCACTTATGGTTTTATGAATATTAGTGACTGTATGCTTTTACTCTGCTCTTCTCATGAAAGGTATTTAGTCACTTCTAAACTAAATGGTAGCTTGAAGTAGCAAATACAGTGGTTCCACTCTAAATTTTAACTGTCTTATTTACAAAGACTTTCTAAACTGAAAGGCTGATGTCTTGCAAAGGAAAAAGAGAAGACTACAATTGCCAGCAAATAAACTTAAAACTAAACAAACCCCAGGAGACAATAGCTTGCTTTGACACTTTGCTTTATATTCTTTCCAAGGGAGTCTTTTTCAGTATTTGAAGATCATTATGAATGTGACGTAGAGTTATTTTATTTTCCCTTAGACATACAGATTATTGTTTTCACTTACATTGTCATAAGTGAAATGTCTATCCCATAAAATCTTTCAGGAAATACTGCTGCCATGGTAAATAACTGTGCAATTTGTATTTCATGAAATATGTATGTACTGATTGCATTGCACAGCTATATTTTATGTATTGCATGACACAACTTCCTCTGGCTTGCTTTGCAAATAGAAAGGTCTCAAAAATAAGAAGGGCTGAGAGTAGATCTTGGACAGCCAGACTGTGCATTTGCTTTACAGATGCTGCTTGCAAAGATATATAAAGTAGAGATATGGTAGAGAGAGTGGGGGCCAATTTGCAAAAGCAACTGTGCAAATCCTTTGCCTCGGGAATTCTCATGCAAGGGCAGAGTTTTCGTATTGGCTGGTTTTTACTTCACACTGGTCAGTGTTGTTTAAGGTGGGCACTGGTGGAGGGGAGATAGATATCTAAACTTTGCATCAGGTGTTGTTAAGAAATATCTTCGATCTTATATTGTTTGCAAAAAAAGGTTTTTCCTCCTGTCTTCATGAAAAACAGTTTCTTTTTCCCTCTCTGCTTCATTTTAATGTCTGTTTTTTTTAAAGGTCTGTGGACAAGTGTGTCATAATCTATGAAACTGTAAGTATAGCATAGTACAGACCATTCATTGGGTTGCTGTCTTTTAATGTCAGTACTGCTGCAGTGTCTTATCAGCATAAAGGAATACTGAAGAATAGAAACGATATAATCCCAAATTATTTACTGTGTGTTTGGGGGGAGGAGCGGGAGTTGTCTAAGGAAAAGTGTCTCTTGAGAATTGATCAGTCTTTCTCACTTTTTATCTACATTTTGAGGATTTGCTGATTTCTCTGCAGTAGGGTATTATTCAATTAATTCCATACTTACAAGTTATGTTCATATTGAAGCAGAACAATTTTTTGTTTATCCTAACATGCCTAGCTTCCAAAGCAAGGAGGAGTGTAGCTTTTGACATAAAATTGGGAATGGTGATCATAGAAATTTTTTAGTTAATTATATATAAAGTGCAGATAAAATAGAAGCATAACAAAGAAGTCAAGAAAATTATGTTAAATACAGTGTCTTCTCCTTAAAACATACTGTTTAAGCATTTTCTATAATAATGTTATTACATCTTTCATGGTTCATCTGTAAGTGCTATTTACCTCTAGTACTTTCTAGTATTAAAAAAAATAATTTTGCTGAAAATGGAGGATGAACAAATTTTAAGCTTCTTCAGCTTGCTCTGCACATACTTAATGTGTTGATACAATTTTTAAATTAGTGTTAAAGTTTTTCACCAAAATCACTAATATGATACCTGCACAGTTATTTTAGTAGTCTGAAGTTTAGATAGGTATGTAAGAAGTCCTCCAAGTTTTGGAGCTTCAGAAAATTAAAAGATGCACAAAACCACAGCATAAGTATTTCTTAATACTGTTTGTCAGCTTTTGTGGCCTTTGGTTTTTATCAGATGGGACAATAACTTTTCTAGTTGTGGATTCTCCTCTGGAGATGCTCAAACCCCACCTGGACACCTGCTGTAGGTGGCCCTGCTTTAGCAAGGGGTCTGTACTAGGTGATCTGCAGAGATCCCCTGTGATTTTGTGGGGAAAAGTGGGGACATAAAGCCTTCATGGGACAGAGAGAGATTTTGGCCTAAAATAGGGCACTTTGATCATGTTGGGCAACTCAAACTACTGGAGTGCTGACTGATCAATTAGTGATTCTGAATAACTGCTCATCATCTTCCCACTTCGTCTGTACCTGTCAAAAAAAGGTATCTTTCCTAAGAGGGAAAGTCTTTCAATCATAAATTAAAACTGTGGAAATTCAGGAATTTGGTTTTTTATTGATATTTAGTGGCCAAATAGGAGAACCACTGTTGTGGTTAATTACTGGTCCCGTTGAAGGATCGTGGCTTAAATCTCTTCCCTTTTGGTCATTTCTAAGAGCAGATTTGTAAAAGAAATGTTTTTATCCCCACGAACAGTCAGCCAGTATGGATGTAATTCATTCAGCTGGTGTTTCTGGCACGGTTCTTCTGCATGTTCCGTGCTGGCTGATTGGGAAGGGTGGCAGTGCCCCAAGGAATCCAGGGGGGCTTCAGGCAGGAAATTCAAGTTGCAGTTCTGCCTCTACTGCTGATCAGCTTTGTCAAGGCTGTGTAACTTCTCTGAAGGTAACTTGTGTCACCTTTCAAGAGGCAATATTCCTTACTTTGAGAGGAAGCATGCAAATGAAGAAATGTTCTTTTTATTCTTTAAGATTTAAAATTACAAAAACTCTTTTACAGAGTACTGGCAATACCCTTCGTACTTTGTCTCAGCATACCAGGTAAGAATTCAATATGATTATTCTGTTTCACTGTTAATAAAAGAAATTAACTCTTTTTCTTGTGAATTTTCACACTGTGTTTTTTTTTTTTATTTGCAGATATGTTACAACTTGTGCTTTTGCACCACATAGTCACTTACTTGCCACGGGCTCAATGGATAAAACTGTGCACATATGGCAGTTGGACCTGAAGCAACCCTCTGCAGGTCAGTGTGTGAAGTGTTTGTAATTTGTTCTTTAAATTCAGAGCACCTTCCGAAGATGCAAACCCCCCACATTCTTACCTGCAGTTAATGTGTAACCTCAGAATTGTGTGCCTGTTACTGGTCTTTTCTCTGAACTGACCTGACTGAAGTCCTACAAAGGAATTTGGTTATTTTTTAAAAGAAAAATATACTAGATCTATCTTAATTTGATTAATATGCTGTATCTTCTTTTCTGATATTTGCCATTGCTTGCTCTCTGGACAGCATTTAAGAGATGAATATTATTGCCAGAGTGCTGACAGACTTTTTGGACAAGCATCATTTGTGATGGGTTAACCAGAAAATATGCTAATTGCAAGCATAATTGTCAACAAGAAAAACAGTTTACCAGTTGTTACAGGTGAAAAAACCCCAAGATAGCTACTGTTACAAAACACATCAGCACCCAAAATTTGTGGAACAAAGGTACATGTGATCTCGTTCAAAGCACAAGAATAAGTTTGGACTTCAGTCTGCTTTCTAAGGAGGTGTGAGATGGTTCCACTTTTCTGGTTTTTAGTTATTCAGTTCAGATTTTACAGACGTGGGCATCTGAGAGATTAAATTCTTCTAAACTTTGAAAATTGACAGGTAAAAAGACAAAAATTATCGTGCCTCTTCCCCAAAATAATGTCTAATAAGCATTTCTTTTATTAGATGGAGAATGTATAGTACTGAGAACACTTAAAACCAGAGTTCATTAATGACATTGTTTCTTAGAACTGGGGGATTCATTGTTGGTTGTTTTTTGGGTTTTGTGGGTTTGTTTTGTTTGATTGGGGATTTTTTGGTTTTTGTTTTGTTTTGTAACTGTCTTTTTCATTTCCAAAGGAAATATTGTAGAAACTGAATCTAAGGTGGCTGTTGAGGACTGGTCAGAGGATGATGTTTCAGCCTGGCTCTGTGCACAAGATTTAGCAGACTTTGTTGGGCTTTTCAAAATGAATAATATTGATGGCAAGGAGCTACTGAATCTTACTAAGGAAGGTCTTGCTAATGAATTAAAAATCGGTAAGAGTATGGAAATCCAAATATTTTTTAATTTTTAAAGGACTTTGAAATGTTGTAATAAAAGAAAGTTAAGAATTCCATATGTGGATTCCCCCCCCAAAATGCCTTTTTATTTCATTACCATTGTGTGTGTGTTGACTTGGTCTATATGAGATCACAGTATCTCTGTGTATCAGCCAGCTTTGTTGAATTCTAGAAATAACAGGTGCTGGGAATCTGACAGAATTGTCATCCACGAAAGACCCCTGGCTTCCTCAGTTTCTGCACATTGTCTCTTTAGCATTGAAGTAGCCTAAAACTCTGTTGCAGCATCACCTGCTGAGGCCAGTCAATTAACACTGACTAGGAAGTCCTGTGAGAACTGAATGTGATCAATGACCTGCTGAAAATAAGAGTTCTCTGTGGGGAAAGGACTCAACAAAGGTATAAAAATTATGGCCTGACAAAACTGACTTGAAGAATTGCTCTCTACCTGCCACGGCTCAAGCACTTACAAAACAGGAAAATACTACCTGCCCAAGATGAACAAGATTTTCAGTGCTACTGCAATCCCAGTTTAACTAAATGTTAGGAGTTTATCACCACACAGCCATGGCTCTGCAGCACTGCTGCACCTGTGTTGGTTTTACTGGTTGTTTTCCTTACTCAGGTTCCTGTTGGGTAGCAGGAGAGACATCCTGGGCCTGGGCTGGCTGCAGGTTTTTGGTTTGGGGGGTGGTGAGATGGAGCTGTGTCTCTTGAAGCAGCTGCTGACTTTTTGCCCTACCTGTCTGTGCTGTCTGCTTAATGTATAAATAATTTTTCAGAGTCTCTAGGCCTGCGCAGTAAAATTCTCCAGAAGATTGAAGAACTGAGGATGACAATGATCTCAGTTTCTGTTCCTGTCCCTGATGAGTTCCTGTGTCCTATAACAAGGGAGCTTATGAAGGATCCTGTCATTGCAGCGGGTATGTCTTTACATGACATCAGTTAAAATTACTTGAGGATAAAGATCGGTGTGGGAACACAAAAATGGGCCTGTCTTATCAGAAAGATAAACTATTTTAAATAGCTGTTGCAACAAAACAGAGTTGTGATAAATGTTTAATTTGCCAAATGACATCTGTAATAGGGAGAAAAATACTGTATCAAGCATTTGTTTCTTTTTTTTAATGTGCCTTTTCAAATATAATTACAAGCCTAATTACATCTTTGGCTTGATAAGTGCAAAATAAGTGCACACACCGGGGCAAAAAGCCAAGGAAACCCAGGCTCATTACTACTTAGCACACCATCTCTAGGGCACTTAGAAGTTTGTATTGAAGGAGACTCCTTTAAATTCAGCAAGGTCTTTGAACTGTGCTACACCAGGAGCTTAAGATGTTCTACAGGTAAAACATTCTATGGAGAACTAGTGCTTAGTAGTTCTAATCTTGGGGGTGGGGAGGGGCATACAGTCATCAGAAGATCGGTGTAAGTTCTTCTGATGCAGTGATTAACTTCAGTCGTGAGGTATCAGACTCCTGAGAATTAAAATGCTCAAAGTATGAAGACATTTGCTAACTGCTGGAGTGGCAGTGGCTTTACTGAATACAGGGTGAGCAGTGTAATCTCCATCAGAGAGATTTCTGGGTGATTGGGCTAAATAACACTGAGCAGGGGCCACATTTCTGTTCTTTAAGTAACACCTTGTTTAGGTACCAACTGAAGAGCTGAAGCCCTGAAACTGGACAGCTGGTGAAGGCTCAGCAGGGGCCCAGCTCAGTGCTGGGGCAGCCAGGTGGGCACCCACAGTGGTCATGGGCGCAGCAAGCTTTAGCTGTGTTAGCTATTTTGTATTAAAGAGCTTTTACTTCACATTATGGATCAGTCAAACTGAAAAGACAGTCTTATTTAACATGTATAATATACTTTGGTGCTCTGCAGTCAGAGATAGAAACATGAAATTAGCCTGAACTGTTTATATTCACAGTAGAGCTTTCACAGACCATGGACTTACTCTAAATCTCAATTTTTCCTGTTTGGATGTATTTCCTTCCTTTCCATTTAAATATCTAAAATTTGTAGAGCGCCACAGTGCCCACGCCTCTGTAATAGGAGCTTCTGTTGATGGTTTTGTTGTAGATGGCTATTCCTATGAAAGGGAAGCAATGGAACACTGGATCAGCAATAAGAGACGATCTAGTCCCATGACCAATCTTCCCCTCCACTCCCTTATGCTCACACCAAACAGGACACTAAAAATGGCCATCACTCGCTGGCTGGAGACTCAGCAGAAATGTTAAACCCCTTTGGAATTCTGTGTAGCTAAAGGAACTAACTGTATCAGGAACAACTGGGAAAAAAAGTTCTATTTCTGGTCTAATCTGTGGCTGTTTCAAAGAAAACCTTCACTGGTGGAAGCTCCCAGAAGAACTTTTTAAAGTTATTGGTTATTTTTCCTTTGTGGTATTTCTGTTCAAGAAATGAAGTAATAACAGTTTTTCAAATAAAGTTTTCTTAAAATTTTCACTACATTTCTGACTTCTGAGTCTACAGTCTTTCAGAAGGTAAGAAATAGCAAAGTATAGGATCTGTATCATTCTATCCCATCAGGGACTGCATCTCATCCCACAGGTATATTAAGCATGTTTATTTTGTATGGAAAAAAATACAGTAGCTGTGCAAAAATAGAACTACAGGACAAGACTAATATATGAATTGTACAAAATATCAAAGAACCGGTAAACAATAAATAAGCTAAAGCATAATGATGCAAACTCCAGAAGGACTGGTAGAGCTGGGTACAGGTGCTTACACTGGACACAGAGCACTGTAACCAAGCACGATGGGCAGGGTGTAAAGCTGAGCTCTCCAACTGAAATGCACTCGTCGCAACGTTCGCTGCAGCCGTTCCTTTTCACAACGTTCTTGCCAATATAAAACCTTATTTCCTCCAAAAAAACTTCACAGCTTCATCCTGCCATGCCACTGCACATACACTTTTCCTCAAACTTTCATCTTCACTCCATCCATTTGTTAGGTTTCCCATAAAAACACTCACTAGGCATTTAACTGCTGTACCTTTTCACAAATAAACAATAAATCATTTTGCTTTAAGATAGCACCCAAAGGTGATTAGATAACCTATATAAAGTGCAATTATTGTTAATAGGCCATAATATTGTGTTCTTCAGTGCAATAACCAATATGGTCAAAGCTTCTTAATACACATGCAAATGTCACTCTTTATTTTATTTGATTTCTCCTAGTTACCAAAAATAGTTATATTTACATGTCAAACATGGCTGCTTATAGTTTACTCATACACAAATTATTTATGCTTCCTAAATGTACATCATGCAACCCAAATTACATCCCGCTAGAAAAGTGATAAAATACTATCTTTGATTTAAAAAATGCATGCATGTACAGATCTGAGTATTCTGCAGCAGATTATCTTCCTTAACACTGCTGTGAGAAGTAAGCACTTAAGCACTGGAGAGGCACAAGTATTATGTGTGAGATGCAACAGAACCAAAAGCCAAGATTGAAGCCCTACATGAAAGGAAACTCTTATTTAATGGTAAAATGTAATGGAAAGGATTTCTCTGCTCGATGTCCTACTCTGTTGGTTGGACAACCCTAATTGACTCTTCCTACAGAAGTCTGTTATTCCAGTTACTGTCACTGTCCTGTGCTGGTAGGAACAGTGTGAAGTGGTTGTATCCCAGTAAGGACTGGCCAGCACGGGCTGTTCCCTCAGAGCCAGCTGTGCCCAGCCAGTGAGTGTTGCGAGAGCAGTCACACCCTGTGCTGAGCCAGATGTACCAGTAAATACCCAAAGTAGGATTCATACATTTGATTCAATGAAGGATCGCTTTGGTTTTGCTGTGTGGCTGAGGTGCCCGTCCTGGCTGCTGTGGGACGGGGGTTTGGCTGCAGCATCGGGGTACGAATGAGAACCTGGGCTGGGGGATTTGTCTGGACAGTGGGGAGGGACTGGGCACGGGAGTTCCTCGCGGTCTCTCGCTTGCACACTGCTCTGGTTGCCATCTCCCAGGGCAGCAGCCAGAGAGGAGACTTTAGTTGGGTAGTGTTTCACTGAGAACTGGTCCAAGTTTGAGGGCTGGATGCCCCCAGGAGCAACGTTTGTGGACAATCCATCTGATGCCTGAGCGTGCCAAGTGCGACTGGATTGCATATTTTGCTGCTGGAACCTTGCAGTCTTGTCCATGATTCCCATAAATGGGGTATTGCGGGGTCGGTGCTCAGTACCCTGAACCTGACTCACGTTACTCTCCTTGAGTCGAACATCAGGGCCCAGCCCCTTAACGCTGCCTGAAAAGCTGCTGGCTGAGCTGGCCAGAATCACACTGTTGGATGGAGAGCTTGAAGAGACAGCACTGGGTACAGGGCTTTGCTGCCTTGTGTTACCGAAGTTCATCTGAGCAGGGCCTGTTGACCTGTCTGCAGGTTTAGACTTGTTGGCAAAAGAATGAGAAGAGAGAGTCTTGTGATGCTGTGGATGGGAACACTGGCTGGACATGAACTTCTCACTGCACAGTTCAGCACTGGGATCTACGGAAATACTTCCAGATGACAGTGTGCTTGTCCCATCCAAATGCTGACTTCTAGAGTGTGGCACAGGCAAGGGACTTAGGGGATGATGCTGCAAAGATGATTGTGCCTTTGTATTACCTTGACTGCTTCCTGGTTTAGATCCAGGCTGGATGGAGCTCAGGTGCTGATTAGTTTTTACAATCTGTGCCTGCTTTGTTGGCTGCATGATCAAGCCTGGCTCTCTCAGGTACTTACTGCTTGTTCTGCTCTGAGGGGACACAGACCGACCCTTCTGCTGAACACCTTCCTGAAGGGTCCTGCTGAATGCTGAAGCAGCTGAGGAACATTGCAGCCTTTGTGGTGGGGAAACAGATTCATCGGGGTGTGACAGTTCATCCTCCCTGTCTTGAGGACTGAAATTCTCCTTCACGCCTGATACAACACCCTCTTCATTATCGGAGTTGTTGGTTTGCTCCAGTAGCTGTGCAGACTGATGTTTCTGTTGCTGTGTTCTCTGCAACTGTTTGCATTCCTCTTCCACCCGAGCCAGGAGACGTTTTATCTCCTGATTGCTGGGACACAGCTGAGCGGCTTCATGTAGGTCAGCAAGAGCAGCAAGTAACTTTCTGTTTAGGGCAAAAAAAAAAATAAACACTGAAGATCCAGAGCAGATCTGAGCCCCACCATTGCCTATTACTAATCCACCTCCGCCACTTGCAGAGAAATATTCTGATGTGTCATTTCCTGCTGCAGGTGGTGACAATGTAAGAACTGGATGTTCTCCACCTCAGGAAATTCTTCCCTCTGGAGAACCACAGACCCAGCCCTAAGCCCTTCCTTGAGTCTTGTGACAATCCGTGCAGGGAGGCAGCAGAAGTCTCTGCTGGGAACAGTAGGAACTGACACTTCATCTCACAAGCCCTTCACAGTTACCTCGAGTAGGGAATCTGCTGAACTCCATGACTATCTATTGAGCTGTTTAGAAGAGACACTGTGAACCAAAGGCACCTTTCCCTATACTTCAGCTATACCTCTATAGTTTGCCATTTTTCCAGACTAGAAGAGATAGTTCCTCCTCTCTCCCCTTGTTTTTTATCTTTAACTGCTAATGCTTCAACATATCCTGTCCTATAAAACCAGCCAGTAATACATGATAAATAAACTTGGTAATAAATAATGCAGTGATAAGGCTGGGTTGCACACTGTTGGCCACATTCTGCTCAGTCATGTGAGTAGCAGACCCATGCAGTCTTACATTTCAAATAATCCCTCTTCATATCAGTTTGTTACTTTCTGGACTGCCCAGTGATTACCGAAATAAGTATTCAATATTGCTATTTGGGTGTGGTCAGCTTTAACTGATACAGAGACCTAATACAGATGGAAAGTGCACAAAAAATAACGTTTTCTTTGCAAATTCCACATAGAAATAGTGGAAGAGAACAAGTTATTAAAAATGTTAGGTTAAAAAAGAATCTGTGCAGAGAGATCCATAGAATCAAACAGTACCTGCTGTTCCTCTTGGCTCTTGCTCTGGCATAATAGGCTTCGTAACACCTGGGCTTCAGATCCAAGGCTTTGGTAGCAAACTCTTCAGCCATACCAAAGTCCTGGCAATGAACCAAACACCCCGATTACACCCCAGCAGGCAGAGGGAGCTGCAGGCTCTGGGGCCGTGGCACAGGCTCTGCCTCCCCTGGAAGCACCCACGGCAGCAGACTGGGCTGTGTCACAACAAAGGGTGGTGGCAGCATTGTCCATCCAGTCTTTGAAAAGTACCACAGATATGCAGCAGTTCATCATTCCAAAATAACTGGATGACCTCAGACTAGCTGTAATAGATCCCCCCCTGCAACACACACTCATCTTATAAACTGCCCATTTGCTAACACAACAAAGCCCTCCAAAGTCAGGGTACAGTGAAAAGATTTATAAAATAGCACCAATAAATGTCCACCCCAGCAATGCAGTAGGAGAGAATTCTCAGATTCTGAAAGCCAGAGAGGCAGCAGAGGCACAGTAAGATCTTACATTTGTTTTTCGGCGGCATCGTGACAGGTTCAGGTACAGTGAAACTCTCAGCTCAGTGAAGGCTTTCATTTCCTCTCCAAAGCCTTCCCTGGGGAACTTCCTCAAGGCGTACTGATAGCGCTGGGCTGCTTCCTTCATCTTGCCTTTCTGCAGAGTTTAGGGAACAAGAAGCTTTTCACAAACTTTTAATATTGCAATACTGTTGCAAAAAAGCACGTTACATTTGACATCTACCAAGAGGTGCCCTTCAAGAAGAAAACAGAGACAGATTTTAAAAAAATAAATATACGCAGCATAGGCTGTACTGGCAGACAAGCACAGTGAGAGAACTTGCACATTAACTACAGTTTGTGTTTGTTTCTGAACTCAAAATGTTTAATGGTATTAGACCAGGATAATACTTGCATTAATACTACCAGTACCAGAAAAAATCATGTACGATACATGCATTTTATTTTTTTTTAAACAGACCAGTAAAATACCAGATGATGTAGTCGAAAAGGAGGTATAAAGAAATTATATCTACTTACATGCAGAAGTCCAAGATTCTGTTATCATAAAAAGTATGAATCTACCTACTTTGTACAGTGTATTTCCTTCTTCCATCAGTTTCTGCAGCAGAATCAGGAGGATATCGGGTTTCGAGGTGGCCATAGCCCAGGCTGCATTTCCTGCAAGTTAAATTTTAGGGGTCTCTGACAAAGGGGAAGAAAGCGTGTTTCTGCTTTCAGAGTAGGAAGTGAATCAGCCTAGAGAGCCTAATCCCACTTCAGGAGATATTCCACCTGTGTGGAACTAGTATTCCTGTTCTCATCAGCCAGGTGTACACACGTTTAAACTACGTCTATCCCCTGCCTGCCCCCCTACCCCACCACTGTAAAGCTCAGGCCTAAGCAAGGACCTGTATTTGGTCATACTTACTTATCCAAAAAATATGAAATAA